CTAACAATAAAAATAACAAATAATGATTATTATTTAGTACGCCCTCCGTATTTAAAAGAGCACTATGTTAGATCTAGTCACAATATTTAAGGGTGAAATAGTAGCGGTAATGAACAGTGTAGAAATAGGAGAGAATGAGAAAAGATAGAAAAAAGAAGATAAAGAGTACAAAAGTAAGGGTAACTGAGTATTCTTAAAACACAAACTTACCAATAAGTAAAAGTTTAGCAACTTTCAAATACATCCCAAATAAGAAAGTGTAGCAAACTTTTAAATACAAAGGAAAGAGAGTATTTTTATCACAATACTTTGATATTACAAATTATGGTTATAAGAATATATACAAACTTTGTGAATTATTAAAGTACTTTCAAATTACCAACTTCTAATACAATCGAGTGTGACAAATTCGTCGATGAATCGGGACTCGGGAGTATTTATTATACAATGAAGCGAAGTGATTAGTTATAATTTATTATTAAGTGTGACGATTCTATTATTCATGCACGTTAAGGTGTATGTATATAGAGTCATAGAGAGATACACACACAATATTAATTATCATATTTACACTAAAATATTGATAAAAATATAATTTATGTCTTTGACTAGTCCCAACATAGGCGCTTTCATAGCCATCTAGGTGATGGGTTGACGCTCAACTAGCACCTAACACTTTTTAGAGGATTGATCATAACCATACTGAGAAGCTCAGTAAAATTTCCAGAGCTCGTTTAGTAATACTAAAATCAACTGAATCGGTTGATTCTGCTTAAATTTATAAATTTCTAGCTGCAGTGACTGGATTATCTGATTATGCTGATTTATGAAAAAATATAAAATATATTTTATTATATAGATATATATATATATATGAAAGATAGCTAAAATAGCCTTCTACAATAACATCAGCCAATATAATCATTCAAAAGTTACGTAAAAACAAAAGTTACGTATTTGGTAGAAAAAATGGCCGATAAACATAGACACCAAACGGCCTCTAAGATTTTTATATCCAAATTTTATACATCTAACCCATTAAAGAAGGATAAAGCAGAGGAAAAAGATCAAGAATTGATAAAGAAAATGTGAAAGAGAAGGAGAAGGTGTTGAGTGCTGGCAGGGGCGGAGCTAGGGCATTAGACATTTGGGGCGATACAAAGAATATTCTTAAAAAAAAAAATTACACGAATTTTTTTACACTATAAAATTAGATTTTCTTTAAAATTGGGCTGGGCCGAGGTATGGTTGGCCCCTCCCTAGTTACGCCCCTCAATGCCAAGAAGTAAAACAAATTTGAAAAAAATAAGACAATTAGTAAAGAATGATAAAATCGAAAAAAATACTTAGTAGAAAAGAATAAGAGATGTGGGATGAAATAAAAAGGAATAAAAAATAAAAGGATTAAAAAAGGACGTAGATTAAAAAATAAAAGGATTTTTTAAAAAACAAAAATAAAAGGATTAAATAGCAAATGTTTAGCGTTTTCCTTGGCGTTTTGTTGGTTAAGATGACGTGACATCACTAAATGGCGTGTCATGTTTTTATTTGTCTAGCTCTTGTATGTACCAAAACTTTCTGCAAGGTGCAGCCACCGTAAAATTTTCCTTTTTTCTTTCCTCCTCCTTGCATTTTCTTCCCTGCTCCCCCTTCACTACGCTAGCCTGCAACTTCTCCCCTCTTTCTTTATTTCTTTCTTTCATTCCTTCCCCACTTTCTTCTTCCTACTAGTTATCTGCTCACAGTTCCACGGCCTCACTTCTCCCTGTGCCTCTTTTCTGCAACCGACTACGGATCTGGAATCAATCTGGCCGGAGGTCTCACGAAGCACCGCGCCAACTCCGACTTGTATTCCCTAGCGAAGCTTCAAGTCTTCAACGGACAGGTGTGCGACGGAAACTTGAGTCTTGAGCATCTCCGGTGACCTAAGTTTCTCTCAGACATCTGCGTCGCCGTCCAACGACCTATTATTGGTGTCACAAGAAAGGGGAGGAAGAGAGGGGTGGTGGAAGATTAGAAGAAGATGGAGGAAGGGGTGCTGAATTTGCTGGAAGCCTGGAACGAATTGTCAAAGGAGAAAGACGACGGAGCTAGGGAAGGAAAAAACAAAGAAAAATAAACAAATGGGGCTCTTATAAAAAATATTACTAAAATAAAACTTATTTATACAAATATGACTAATAGCTACTACAATGTGTCATCATGGTAGCTTAAGTTTAAAATTTGAACATAACTTACTATGATTTCATTACTACTCTTGTCATTAGTCACATTTTTTGTAAACAATATCTAGTTTAGCCGTAAATATATAATTATTTCTAAAAAAAATTATAGTCACTTGAAGAAAAATAGATTTTTAATCCATGGATCTCATCTTTCAGATGGGCAGTTTCATCACTTGCATGTAGTCTTGGACTGGATCCGGGCGGCCTGTGACCGGTATGGTTTGGGACTGGCTCGGGACCGGCTTTCCGGTACCGGTACCCGCCTGGTAATCGGACCGGCTTAATAGTGACAGGCTCGGGACTTAATATTTGGGACCGGACTGGCCGGTCCCGAGCCCGGTTCCGGTCCCAACGATCGTTTTTTAATTTCTTTTTAAATAGAGGGTGGGTACCCGTGAACCAACCTGGGTATAGGAATTAGTACCGGACAAACCGGATCCGTATCGGGCTTCACTATTTCAGAACCTGGACCGACCGGTCTCGGAATCAGACCGGATCGGACAGGCCCGAGTCCATGACTAGTTGAATGCTTGCTTTGAATTCACGAGAGTCTTAACGTAAGTCACCACTTCATGTGGCGGCTTTGTTTAACTCTGAATCCACTCATCATTATTTTGGAAATTATTTTTAACTCAACTATATTTTTGTAATTATTTATTTAATTAGCATTAATTTGGGGAAAAACTCGCATAAATGTATGAAAAGGATCGAATATCATATCAATGGCCCTACACAAATTGAATATTCACTTGAAAAATGGCAGAAATAAGACTAATACTCCAATAGGATCTCATAAGACAAAATTGTGAACACTTTTTTATCTAAACAAAAAAGAGAGATTTTTTTTAAAGGAAAACGCCAAACTATATAAGTTTAACTAACCAACGGCTGGTAGTTACAAGCACTCAAAAACTCAAGTTTGACTAACTATCTTCTAACATACTCCATCTAGATTAAAAACAACCTACGATTAGATTCTTTGATAACCGCCTCCAAAAAAACGTGTATCTCAACCACCTAAATAGAGTTCTGTTTTACCTTTAATGTCAATATTCTCTTGGTCACTTCAACACACTCGAAAAGTCCACCCATTCCCTGATGAAATATAGAGAATTTCACCCAAAACAGAGTGAAATTTTTCGCTGAAGATACGGTAGCTTCGAGACAAATAAATGTCTTAAACACCTAAAAAAGCAACAAACACAAGCAAACAAAAAACAATATAAAAGGTCTAAAAAAATAAGTAAGGCTGAAAAAAATAGAGCAATGTTTTAGCCAAAATATGCTAAACTAAATATGAATTAAACGGGGTTTGAGCAAATATGAACCGACAAGAATTTTATTAAGAATAATCGCAATTGAATATGAAAGAAGAATTGAATAGCTCGAGAATGAAGAATAATGGTGCTTGATGGTGTGTTGATCGTCTCCTCTTTTTACATATTGCTTAGCTCAATTTATACAAGAGCATATGAGACAAATAAGGAAGGAAAATAAATGATTGATCACACAAAATATCTCCTCCCATATGATATTATATTAAAACGGAAAAACCGTAAATCGAACCAAACACTGAACAACATATATATACTTTGTATTTATCTTCACTCTTCATTTTTAAGATATAAATAAATTATTTAGACATGAAAATACATATTTAAACATATATTCGTATCATTTTAACTTTATACATTTCATACATTCATTATGACAAAGTTAGCTAATACGACATATTTGTATTTATTATGTTTGGCGATAACAATAGCAGATTGCATTTATATTTTTACATGATTCATTTGAATAAAATTGTGAATATTACAACATTTGTACCACCGACACTTTTAGGTTTTTTTTTGAATATTTTATGTGATATTATAGAACCGAAACCACATATTCTTCGAAAAATATAGAACTTGATCATATGGGATACTACTACTACTAGTGTCGTGAGTAATATAGAGTATTATTACCTTTTTATATACATAGCAATATACTAGTGTTGTGAGTAATGCATAGTATTATTACATTATTATGAGTAATATAGAGTATTGTATACATAGTAGTATACTAGTACTTCATCATATACATAGCAATATTATTTGGATGAAGAGGACTACATGAAAAAGAACACATATCCTGTTTAGTGTTGTGAGGGAGAACTAAGTTTGCTTGAGAGGATGAAGAAAACTGAAAGAACCGGCCGGTGAGAAGAGTGAGAAGAGTAAGCGAGTAAGAAGAATTAAGAGCAAACTCAATTCGGGTGAGAGGAGTAAGAAGTCTGGAGAGCGATGATGGCTTAGTGTTTTACACTTTTACGCAAGGTTTTACGTATTTAGCTTGAGGTTTTACATAGGTTTCAATAGTTTTACCCTATTATTTAGATGTGCTAAGTGTTAAAAGATATGGGCTAATCATTTTTGAAAGTTTTAAACCAAAAAAAAAAACTTGTCAGCCTTTTCCGGATCAGGCGACCCAAGCGTGCTCCCCTTGCGCTTCAGCGCTTCATGCACTTCCTGCATAAGCGCTTCCTACACTTATGCTGCGCCTGACCCAAGAATGCGCACCTCCCCTTCTCCCAAGCGCTAGAGGCCCTGCTCGTTGCGCCTGGTGCGCTAAAGCGCTGGGGCGAGCGCTTTTGACTACCTTGGTTGAGAGAATGGAAGTACAGTATCTCCAAAGTTTTATTTGGATCACATTCAAATTCGGGTTAGCAATGCATTCTATTCGAGCCTGAATCTCATAAAAATTAATGAGCCGGAATTGGGTCAAGCTCAAACCCAAAAGAGAGAAAAAAATCATTTGCACACCCCTTTTTACACTCTTACACACGGCAGTGAGGCTTTTTCATTAAATAGCATGATGTCCGTGATCATGTTTTGTTTGTGAATACTAAATAGTAGGCACAAAAAATGTGTACAAGAAGAACTTCTGAATCTAAAATTACAAAAGTCGTTTGAGTTCTAGCTCGAACTCTCCACTTTAATTTATCATGTTCGAATATCGCAAAGTTCGAACTCAGCTCATTTACATTCCTATTTAGGGGTGTTTGGAACGGATTCTACTTCTGCTTCTTTTTTTAAGAAGAAACAGAATCAGAGTCAGTTTTCAGAAGCTGGTCTTCCCCAGCTTCTAGGAGTGAAGAAGTGAAGGAGTAGAAGCAGCTTTAAGAGTCACGTACAAACACCCCTTAGAGTGGTATGAAATGGGGACACTTTTCTTGCAATTCCTCCAATGTCAGCCACCTACTAACCAATTCAGGCGCCCACAAAACGTCAACTTCCTGCAGAAGCACATCAAAATGTACGTCATATAAGATTGACATTCATGATACATGTACATTTTAACAAAATAGGTTAAACTAATACAAGATATAATTCATACACTACGGTGTTGGGTAAAGGAGTTTAGGGTTTGCAAGTTCTTCTTCAAGTCTTCGCCGTTATTCATAATGGAAAGTTCCAGGGGGGCATTAGTACAAACTAATATTGTTACCTGAAACAAATCAAAGTGAGAAAATAAGATGGGAGGACTGGAGCCCCGCCATATTGAAATTAATAAAAGATCATTACAATGCAAATTGAGTATAAACATCATACTCTTTATTACTCCCTTCGTCCCAAAATGATTGATCAAATTGACTTTTGTTAGTTAGTGGATGTCAAGTTTGACTACTACTCCGTAATATTTTTTAATAAAAAAATATTTAAAATATGAAAATTATATGAGCATATTCTTTATTAACAAATCTTTCATAAAAGTATAAAATTTATAAATTAAACACAAACATAATAACCAAAATTATTGTCTAAACATTAACATCATTGATCGAGAAAAATCAAATTGGTCAATCTTTTTGGAACGAAGGTAGTATTACATTGTCAATTACTACCTCCCTCCCACTAACATTGAGACAAGATGAGGTGGTGCAGTTATTAAAAAAGTAAGTTTGTGTGATTAATATTAAATTGATAAAGTGAGAATGATTTAGAACCACACAAATTTTATCAAATTTGGGGTAAGACAATCTGAGTGGGACAGCCCGAAAAGGAAAGATCGGACAATCTTAGAGGGAGGAGCGAGTATTAAATATGAAAATATAAAAAAATGAAAAACTTTGAATCCTCCATTACCAGAAAAAATATTTACTTATTATTATAATTATTTTAATTTTTGTTCCATAAAACAATGTGTTGTGTTGCACTTTAAGGTAAAAAAAGTTGACTAAGCAACTCACAAGACATAACCAAGCCTTCACTTATTGCCCAGAGGAGTGCACTTCAAGAAAAAGTTACGTTTCAAAATATGTTTTTTCTCGTATAATTAATACTAATAGTTTATTTGGAACAGTTTTCATGTAACTTGGCAATAAATAACAAATAAAAGAAGGGTTGGTTACATATAAAAAAAATTAGTGAAACCAACAAAAAGAAAACAAAACAATTGTCTTGTTTGCTTTAACACAAGCTTTAAGAAAGTGGTTGAAAAGTTTAAAGTTGTGGTTGAGATATGAGTGAAAAAGGAAACAAGAAAATTCTTTTGGGGCATTCCAAAAACGAAAACAAGACAATTATTTTGGGACAGAGAGAGTAGTATATAGTTACCACTATATAGCCATTGTTGTGTTTCTGTTGTGTGGTCTCTGCAACAATGCATGTCTTTCTTCCAACAATGAAGTTGAAGCAAGCAACGAAAAGTCTTTTAAGAAATGAGATCTCGTCTTCAAAGGCATCCAATATGGACCTTTCAACATAAAACCTTAGACAGCACAGAAGGAAGTTATGTTAGCAAAAGAACTGGCTCCTGGTTCAGTTGTCCTACTAATCAGTTTACAATAAAAATGGAAATAAGCCAAACCTAGGACCGATATCAAACCTTTTCTGCTCTTTCCAGACAAGCTCCAGCATATGTGTCTCTTTTGAATGCACCTACAACAGTGTCATATATGGGGCATCTTATATGTTCTTGAATCTTATGTCTTCTTTCTTTCGTATAAAATAAATAATTAGTAAACAAATTATCCCAATTGCATGCTGTTTTCACAGAGAATAGAGCAACCAAGGAATTCAATTTCACAACTAAAACCGGTTTCTGATAGGATTAGGTTAAACTTACAGAAGCAAAACCATAGATGCAAGACTCCAGGTTTGCAAGAAGAAACTCAGTTACACCTGCATTTTTGTTTCTTTTTATGTAAAAATGAAAACTCATCCAGGATATAAAGATTGTTGCACAACAACATTAAGAAATCACATACATACATAAAATGGATATAATGAAGTCAACATGGTTAAATGAGAAAGCAAATTTCATTTCCCAATAAAATAAGTGAGATTTTGTAGACAAGTTATTAATAAAATGGTAATATGGAAAAGTAATCCCTGAAGTTACTATATTAGGAACAAACAGTTAAAGTTCATACCTTAATTCGTATACTATTACTACCTAAAATATAAATCTCTGAGCTTTACTTTGATCTGCAATGTGAACATAAGAATTTCCCTATTATACTTTACAACCCTCAATAACGAATTATTTTCAGAGTTAATGCCAAAGATTTTTATATATGATGCAACCATGGGTAAAAACCTCTATATGATGTGTGATATTTAGTTCCATTTGTCATCTGTGTAACGATGAGTCAATTGCTAGTATATGTATTACTCTGTATTGTATACTATGTATATACATATGTCTGTATTTAAACTAGTACAGATTAAGGAATACTTGACAAGTGTTGAAGCCTTGAAGGTAGTAAACGAATCCACAAACATATTGAAAGGCAAGTTAGAAGATACACCGTCTCAATGTCTTCATGTGTCACCAGAAAACTCAATTACTACTCATGGACACCACCATTTTTCACAAAACAGTAGGCGAGTCCTAGCGCCTGTAGAGAGCCTTAACACTGAGCACTAACACTCGATGATGATAAAATGAAATTTATCTTTCTCAAATCAAGTTTTAGTTATACATATACACGAGGGAGAGTAATGCCACATATGAAATCAAAACATTATCATTAGGGCAACTGATAAATCATAAATGTACCGTGTAATTGTTTTAATCCCATCCATCTATAGCTACTCGTGTCACGAAACCTGATTCGACCTCGACGAACTGGAAATTAAAAAACAACATCATTAAATCACACAAGATTCAAATGATTTTAAAAAACAACATCATTAAAGAAGATGCTGGGAGATTATCAACGGATTATAGTGGGAGGAGGTGGTCTAATGGCGATTTCTTCAAGTTGCCCTCGAATTCTTCCACCTTCTTCACGCATGGCTACCTGCTTACACATCGTAACAAAAAAATGCGATTGAAAGCCCAGAATAACAACTAAATTAACCGACATTTCTGAGAAACTAACAATTAATGTGAGGGGAAGAAAACCACATACTTGAACGCTGTAGATTTTGCTTGGAGGAGGAGACGGAAGCGCTAAGTCATAGACTAGGTAGTACGCATATGAAAGCAAGATCAAAAACACAGAAGCAAGGAGAGCATCTAATTCTGGGTCTTTAAAATGCGTATCCAACTCAAAATGAGACAGTATTTCTTCCTCTTTTATTGGGCTCTTCCGAAAACAGTAATAATTACAGGGGCCGGCTAATGCTAAATTATTACCGCGGCTACATAAAGCGATCATCGTTGCGGTCAGCACTACTGTATTTCGGAGAAATGCATAAAAAAGATCCAAACTTTGGCTGGAATTGTTCTTTTCTGAAGGGAAAGAGTTTGACCTGGTCGCAGTACAAAAAGCACCAATCTTTGGTGGGTAATTTGAAGTGTTGATACTCAGGCGCCATTCCAGAGGAGCAAAATCAAGTTCAAGATAGCGGTTGGGGTTAAACCTAGGATGAAAACCTCTGTTTGATTTCAATTGCAGAGGAATTTTAACTGACAGAAAGACTTGTGTGGGCGCCATGAAGGAGAGGGAAAATCTCTATATGTGCAAGAGCAGGCTGCCCTGCGATATACATTTTTTAGACTTTCTCTGCATTATACTCCGTATATTCATATATTCCATAAATCAAAATAGGAAAGTTATTTTAAAAAGGCGCATATAAAAGTAAATAATCTCCGCTTTCTCATTTTTTAGATTTTTTACCTATGAAAGTATTCCTTAACGAATGCATTAAGGTTGTCCATAACGTTGTCAATGATAAACCTACTTGGGACAAAAACACTTTAGTTTACGATCACTAAATGATTGAATATCCTCTTAAACCTATTAGTCAAAGTTTTGCTAAAAATTTTAGGAAAAATTGAAATAATAATTCAAAATACTGCCGATCCGTTATTAATAATTTGAACTATCGATTATTTCTGAGTGGTCCCAATCATAGATATCAATTTCCAAAAATAGTTATAATCTGCTACAACCTGGTATAACAAGTCAAATTTAAATGAGAACCATGCGTAAGCTATAAATAATTCCAATTATAATTGATTTTATTATATTAATCTCAATTATAGTTGGTTTTTTTCTAAAACTCTCAATTTTAGAAAACTATAAAAATATATTTATAAATTTTCAAATTAAATATTTTTAAACATGTAAAAATAATAATGAGAATTTTACAATTGTACCGAAGTTAAAGAAAATATTTTTAGTAATTTTTTATTTATTTTCATTAAAAATTCGTTTTTTTTTCTTTTTCCAATTTATTTTTCCTAGTTGTGTTGACAAGTTATGATTTGGTATTATTACACCTTGTTCAATTTACATTTTATGTTTTCAAAAAGAAAGTGTGATAAAAAAATTTATGATTGAAAGCTTCATTCTAGTTTTTCTTCATGAAAATATATTTTATTTAATTTTTATGCTATGTTAATTCTAAGAATCTAAATTCTCTATTTTATCCATTTTAGAATTTGTAATTTATTTCTGTTTTATATTAGTATATTCTATAAACTATTGGATATAGTTTATCGTTCAATTTTAGTGATTTGCGTAATAGGTTTTGGAGGTTTTGACTATTTTAAATGAAAATGTATTAATATTGTAATTTTAAGTAATATAATGGAAATTGTAAAAAATGTAGAAAATACTAAGATTTACAAATCAGAGATTTTTTATTTTTACAATTAAGATAGCATAAAAAATTTAATAAAATAATTTTTCATGAAAAAAATCTAGGATAAAGATTTAAAATGTAATTTTTTTAATCACAATATACTTTTTGAAAACATAAAATTTAAAATTGGATAAAGGAAGATAATACAAAATCACAACTTGTTAACACAACTGGGAAAAAAAATCGGAAAAAAGAGTAAAAAATGAAATTTTAGTGAAAAATCTGAAAATAAATAAAAAAAATGGTTACAAATGTTTTATTTAACTTTGGTACATTTATAGAATTTTCATAATTTTTTTTACATGTTTAAAAAAAATTAATTTGGAGATTTATAAAAAACATGTAGTTTTCTAACATTGAGAGTTGATATTTGGGATTAATAAAAGAAGATCAACTATAGTTAGGATCATTTATAACTTACACATAGGTCACATTTAAATTTGACCTGCTTTACTAGATTGTAGCAGGTTAGGGATTATTTTTGAAAAATGGTCCCTATAGTTGGGGTCATCCAAGAATAATCGATAATTGAGATTATTAATAGTGGACTGACAATATTTGGAATTATTATTTTCAAATTTTCCAAAATTTTAAACTCCACATTACACAGAGCTATTGGCCTCCGGTCCCCCATACATTCACGTTTATCATTTTTCGCAATCAAATTTAAATTAGTTTTGTTTACCTCTTAGGGGGCCCGTCCTGTTTCTATGATATTCTTGCAACAAAATTTGACCACATCTTCGCCCACTATCTCCCAATAGTGATGAAAAAACCTGGAATGATTTCTTCTGATCTTGGGGCTTTATCTGGATGCATATCGAAAACAGCCCGCATAACCGCAAAAGCCGTGATCGGTTTCATCGGATCTTGATTTTGTTCAGGCTTCACCCTAGCCAAACCCACCATCGTGCTCTCCTCTACTAGTGGATCTTTTGAAGTAAATAGCTCTGAAAAATAATCACCTACCATAAGCCAAGTTTGTTTCGATCCAATTCTCACTCTCTACTCGGAGGTTTCAACCGGTTCCTTTTGTGACGCTGCTTGACAACACTATGAAAACAATTTGTATTTTTATCTCCTTCTTTGAGTAAAAAAGTTTTTGTGCACTGCTTCCAATATATGTTTTGCCACTCTAGAAGATAGACAAGAACTTCCTTTACCCGGTTAAACTCGGCCGCATTCCATGTGCCTCCCTCAGCCCTCAAATCGGCCAACCGCCATTTACAGACATCAATTCAATTCGGGTCTGAAAACCAACCCTCCTATTTTTTACTCCATTGATCAAGATCTATGCCACATCCATCAAACGATGCTAGATATGCAACCCTTGTAAATTTTACAAGCCCTCTGTATGACTTCTCGACAATCATTTTCATGGATCTACATGTTTTCAAACTTGAAGTTCTTCCCCCTTTTGTAGTTGCCCCCTTTTTGGGGCGAATATATAACATTAAATGATCACTAGTAGAGCCTTCTTCACCCTCATCGATCTATGCCTTTCCATATGCAAACAACGGAAATGCTTTTCATTCTCCTTCATCGACTTCTCTCTATTCGGATATCTTCATACGAATCATACCTCACCTCACTTCTCCCTCTCAAGCAGTTCGACTATGGTTACAGATTTTACATGCATTTTTCATTTCATCTTGATGTGAGTTTTCTCGCACTTCGTAAAACGTAAGTTCCTAGGAGCAGAACACCATCTTCGCACTCCTCAGCAGACAGAGCCGCCCCCACCGCCTCTACTGCCGTGACCTTCGCTGTCACTATCGCTTCTCTTGTCATCTTCGACGCCCCTTGCCATCGTGCCGGTAACAGAGTGGGCATAGATTGTCACCGCCACCCTCGTCTCGCCGTCATTTTCATCCGATCTGAGGAGAACGTCGTCTGGGCTCCATGGTGCCACCGCCTCATCCGTCGCCTTCAATTGAGTTGCAGGTGGGCCACGACAATGGCTAGGGTTGTTGTGACGGGGCTATGAGTCTAGGGAGGCAGGCTGGAGAGGGGGCTACGGTAAGGGAGGCGATGACATGAATATGACTTTCTTAATCACATTTTTGTCCTAATGCTAAAGTAGACACATTTTTGGAAAGTGGTTTTACTTTAGTACGTAGTAATTTTTAGGGAAAAGCCCCTAAAATTATTTTCCATATTTAAGGACAGTGGTTCCATATGTTTTTGATCATTGAACAGTTCTCCCGCTAAAGCTTTTACCCACCTATAATGTCCATTAAACAAACGGCTTGCACCGTTCATCTATCTTCACCCTCTGTTCTTCGGATAAATCACCCCCTCGATCTTTCATCTTCCTCCATCTCCCCTTCAGTCTCCATTATCAACCTTCTTCACCCTCATCGATCTCTGCCTTTCCATATGCAAACAGCATAAATGCTTTTCATTCTCCTTCATCGACTTCTCTCTATTCGGATATCTTCATACGAGTCATACCTCACCTCACTTCTCCCTCTCAAGCAGTTCGACTGTGGTTACAGATTTTACATGCATTTTCATTTCCTCTTGATGTGAGTTTTCTAGCACTTCGTAATATAGTGTTGTAAGTACGAGTATCATCTCCACGGGGACGGAAAAAAGAGAATTAAAGATTAACTAATTTCAGCGATTAAAAAGAAAATAAAATAAAATGCAATTGTGCGAGATTGATTGGTTTGAAAAATTAAACTAATTTTAATGAGCAATAAAATAAAAGATTGGTTTCTCTCTAATTAACGACGAAGGGAACATGGATTGATTCCGCGGTAACCAGATTTCTGGCAGATCAGGTCTAATCACATGAAATTAATTTAATTGAGCCTAGCTAATCATTACTAAGTTCTTACCGCTCTCGCGGCTCAGAGTACAATAATTTAGGGGACCAGGCTGATCTCTCATGCGACAGGTTCCTAAATTATTGCCAAGACGAGCGAGCTTGCAGCCCCTTAATCGCTACTAATCTCGTAGCGAACGATTAAGTGTGTGTGAATGTGTCCTAGAACAAATTAGATCTCTCTTAATTCATTCTATATGCAATTTTAATTCTAGTGGCCATCTAGGTTACAAGAGATATCAATTAAGTTATTCAAACACAAATTAAACGACATTCATGCAATTAAACCATCAAGAATCTAGCCATACATCATGATCAACCCCTTCATCAACCCCAAATCTCTAATTAAACTACTCACAATTCATAATTGAAGAATCAATAGAATTGGGAAGAATAGAATTAATTGTCATTAATTAAAAAAGATGAACTTACAAATAATCCCAGGGTCTTGGAGTAAAAAATGCAGATAAATTCGTTTCTAGGCCTCTCCATAATGTTCGTAACCCTTAAACAGGAGAAGAGATGCCTTAATTATAGAAAACAGATGAGTTTGGGCTGAACTGGGACAAAAACGCGGTAATCCGGGCGAAAATAGGATTTTCCGGAGGCAGGCACAGTGTCAGGCACGACCATGCCTTCGACCTTGCCTCCGTAGCAAAATCGCGCGTTTTGGGCAGGCACGATCGTGGTTGCCTGGCAGTAGCTCCGCGGTGCTTTCTCTTCACGCACGATCGTGCCTAACTTTGAGCGCACGATCGTGCCTACTTAACTTCCGAATTTGACGACGCTTCCTTCACAAAAGTTGTAGATAATGAAGTCTTCTATCTACCGCAACTTGCCGAATTGGATATGAATCATCCAATAAAGAGATATAATCAAAACGGTGGAAGGTCACATTCTGAAATCGCAACAGGGGTCATCTGACTTCATCGTCTCTTTTCACCTTGCTCCTCTCAGATTCTTGAAATGATGCCTGCATATGATTTGTAGCCCTTGAAGTTGGCTTTCATGTTCAACTTGAATCGTGTCCTTTGGATGCTTCTAAAAAGAGATATATGCTTGAACGATTTACAGAAGACCATCTTGATCGCCGTTTT